AACAAAAACAAAAACAAAAACAACGTCTGTAAACAGTGGAGTCCCCTGTCGCCCACCGTATTGTCATTCACAATTATAATTCATCATGCACGAGGCTGGTAAATATTAATCATGCTTTCGATTAGAGCTTGTTTTTCTATGAACCTAAAACCCTGTATGTAAACTGATTTGTATACTTACTTAATCGTTAGGAGCACAAGAGGTCTCAAGACATGCGACCCCAAAGCAATGCTGAGATTAAATGAATAGACTGGCGTGCCGAGCACCTTTTATCTTGCTTCACCGAAACGGTTAACACCCGGTCCGAAAAATTTGCGAGCCTTAGGTGGGAATAGGAACGAGAGGGGCTGGACGCAGAGATAAATTAGGAAATGTTAACGGAAATGTAGGACAAGTGTAACCAACTCCTTCTCAGATTGACGAGGCTCGAAGAGCGAAATATATTTCGAGGATTTTAAAACTTCTAGAACATTTTTTTTACATTTTACATTTCTTATTATACGTGCGTCGAATGTGGTAAAGACGTGATGTCTTATTTTGCAAGTAGTTCAGAAGGAAAATTAGTCATTGGTCTATCTAGGGCGATCCCAATTAACACAACAATATACGAGCCCTTGATGTTTTGACAGACATAAGTCTTGGCCATAAAGAAGGTGCAAATCACTAAAGCAGAACGGGTTCACATCTATTTTTATATGATAAGTCATGCTAATCGGTTTAATTTCGCCAGCATTATTTCCCGCCAAAATTGCTAGACAAGCTGCGCATGCAGATTCCCGCATAACCATCATGACAAAAATTGCACAGTTCTGTTCGGAGCTCGACGCCACACATTCAGATTCCTGAATTTTACTTAATGAGAGACAAAAAAGCGTCATGGACCGAAATCATAAACACGCGTTTCACTTAAGATCCATTTTTCTGAAACAACTTAAGATATGATGTCGAAGCTAATAGCCATGACTATCATCGCCGTACGATACCTAACGTTTCGTGTCCTTTCAAATCAGCATTGGCACGTAGCGGTTCTGATTCCTTCTTTATAGAACGCTGTCTACCAATTAATCCAAGTGAGTTTCCCAGGCCACAGCACAATTTTGATAACATCCTTAGCGGTATGGCATGGACATTCAAGCACGTCGACTTACCACAAAGAGTTTAAAGTACTGCAAAGCAAGAGAGCCAATCCCACGTGACTTAAAAGACGGTACCCAAAATGACGTAAGGGGGCATATATTAATAGCGATACTAAAATCACTGACCTATAATGAACCAACCAGAAGCGCATTGGTTCTTGAACGGACAAGCATTCTTTTGTTTCATTCCGTTACAAGGTCTTAAAAACGTGAATAACAAAAACAACGTCTGTAAACAGTGGAGTCCCCTGTCTCCCACCGTATTGTCATTCACAATTGTCATTCATTATGCATGAGGCTGGTAAATAGTTTAAAATCATGCTTTCGATTAGAGCTTGTCTTTCTATGAACCTAAAACCCTGTATGTAAACTGATTTGTATACTTACTTAATCGTTAGGAGCACAAGAGGTCTCAAGACATGCGACCCCAAAGCAATGCTGAGATTAAATGAATAGACTGGCGTGCCGAGCACCTTTCATCTTGCGTCACCGAAACGGTTAACATCCGGTCCGAAAAATTTGCAAGCCTTAGGTGGGAATAGGAACGAGAGGGCTGGCCGCAGAGAACAATTAGGAAATGTTAACGGAAATGTAGGACAAGTGTAACCAACTCCTTCTCAGACTGACGAGGCTCGAAGAGCGAAATATATTTCGAGGATTTTAAAACTTCTAGAACATTTTTTTTACATTTTACATTTCTTATTATACGTGCGTCGAATGTGGTAAAGACGTGATGTCTTATTTTGCAAGTAGTTCAGAAGGAAAATTAGTCATTGGTCTATCTAGGGCGATCCCAATTAACACAACAATACACGCGCCCTTGATGTTTTGACAGACATAAGTCTTGGCCATAAAGAAGGTGCAAATCACTAAAGCAGAACGGGTTCACATCTATTTTTATATGATAAGTCATGCTAATCAGTTTCGCCAGCCTTATTTCCCGCCAAAATTGCTAGACAAGCTGCGCATGCAGATTCCCGCATAACCATCATGACAAAAATTGCACAGTTCTGTTCGGAGCTCGACGCTACACATTCAGATTTCTGAATTTTACTTAATGAGAGACAAAAAAGCGTCATGGACCGAAATCATAAACATGCGTTTCCCTTAAGATCCAGTTTTCTGAAAACAACTTAAGATATGATGTCGAAGCTAATAGCCATGACTATCATCGTCGTACAATACCTAAAGTTTCGTGTCCTTTCAAATCAGCATTGGCACGTAGCGGTTCTGATTCCTTCTTTATAGAACGCTGTCTACCAATTAATCCAAGTGAGTTTCCCAGGCCACAGCACAATTTTGATAACATCCTTAGCGGTATGGCATGGACATTCAAGCACGTCGACTTACAACAAAGAGTTTAAAGTACTGCAAAGCAAGAGAGCCAATCCCACGTGACTTAAAAGACGGTACCCAAAATGACGTAAGGGGGATACATTAATAGCGATACTAAAATCACTGACCTATAATGAACCAACCAGAAGCGCATTGGTTCTTGAACGGACAAGCATTCTTTTGTTTCATTCCGTTACAAGGTCTTACAAATTTGAATAACAAAAACAACGTCTGTAAGCAGTGGAGTCCCTTGTCTCCCACTGTATTGTCATTTACCGTGAATTGTCATTCATCGTGCACGAGGCTGGTGAATACTGATCATGCTTTCGATTAGAGCTTGTCGCCGATATTCAGTGTTCGATGCTGTTTTGATTCTGTTCCGGTATGTTGAGTCTAAACAATGAGTGACAATTTACTCAACCGACATCTCTTGCTACGGGAGTTAGAAATTAAGATATGCTTACTAATCGTTTTGAAAGCAAAACCGTAGTCCTCGATGATGTCAACGGAATAGACACATTGCCTATGCTTCATCTTTGCAGTTTTGCCTTGTCTACGGAATAACATCTTCATCTTCCTTAATATATCAATCAGTTCTAACTTTTGAAGGTCTTCTTTGCTACATGTAAGCTAAAAGATAGATTTTCTTGTCACTGCTTTCTATAGCGTTAAAAAGGCTTTTTAGACGTAAGGGAATAAACCCCTTTGTTAGCCTTTGGCATAGTTGTACTTGAGTCATGCCATGTTTTCCGCGAGTTGTTTCATTTAGCCTGTTTTGTTTTTTGGCATAAGCCAAATGCAAATTCGCGCTTTTTTTCGACCTGAAACTCCTGCCTCAGGTTATATGAGGTAGAAACATGCTTCTACGCGTAACGCGTCAGGGGTAAATTCAATTTAGATATTTTCTCGAGACTTAGTATAGGTTTTGTTTATTTGAGTCTGTAGACTTTCCGTTTGTAGTAACTTTTATCGGTAGTTATGTTACTATTCTGTGTAAATTTGGAAAAGTTTCGAAGAAGTGCTATTCAAATGCATAAAAGAAAAAACCTGCAGTCCGATGTCATAACAAACAGTTACGAGAAGTGAAGCGGAACAAGCTAAGGAGCTTGGTTTTGTTTGATGTGTGCCTCTCAGACCAAGAAGACATTCTTTTGTTTGTTTGTTTGTATGTTTGTTTTTTATAAGAATATATTTATAAGAATATCGAGGATTAAATTTGCAAAATTTCAAGAATATTTCTAAAATGAACCTGAGAATAAGAACCCATACTTTTAGGACAGAGGACAAAATGCACGCCATCTTGTTGCTGCGGGCATCATGCATCAGCCGGCAGCAGACCGTACTCTTGAGCGATTTTTGCCTAGTCCCTAGGCCTCATTTTTCCTCGCGGCCAAAGCGTTTCGGGTCACGTGGTCCATGCGACCGAGAGGGACTGGGAAACGTCGTACAGGGACTAGGCAATAGCGATTTGAGATTTTTGGTTCAATGGTCAATCTGTGACTGCTGCGCTGTGCAGTCAGCGGTTTGTTTAAGCGATTGCTCAGCTGCCGCGCCTGTTTTTCTCTTGAGAACAAAACAAAATGGCAGGGTTGCGCATATGTAAGATCTGTGCAGAAATTATAGTCCATCTGATGTTTGTTGTCTCTTTAAACGGCCTAAACGGTAAGAACAGCTCAAGTACTTTGTACCTTTTACCTCCATTCTCACATACGTAAAATTGTACTACGCTCCGCCAGAGGAAAATAGCTCCGGAAGAGCTATCTTCGGCGCGTGTAATGAGTAGTGCGAGCACGTCACTTAAGCATTACGTGACAACAATCTTAGACTAGATTACCTAAACACCAGGGCCCAGTTGTTCGAAGAACGATTAACGCTTAACCAGAGGTTGAATTTAACCCGGGTTTCTTTTTCTTGTGTTTAAAAGCATTTCTCGGATAATTTGCTCTGTTATTTTTAAAGCTTTCTATGATCAACTCGTAGGCGAAAAGAATTAAAACTGAAATGATTTTTAAGCTTTCATATCTGAATTCAAATCTCGAGCTAACCCTAGGTTATCTTAACCCAGCTTTGAACAACTCGGCCCAGAGTCTTCAAATCTTATATGGCTGCGCAATAGAGAAGAGCTTTAGGGTCGAAAATACGCTTCACAGCTCCACCAACCTGATACTAGGGAGGAAAACCGGTAAAAGAAAAAGTATGTATTATTTCTAAATAATTTTAGTCGTTTTCCCTATTTCGCCATTTTGCTATTTCGTCATTTCGTCATTGCGTCATTTCGTGTTTTAAACACACCCCCAAAAAAGAGTGTAGTCGACTTGCGGGAACCTCAGTACTTTCCTCTCGTTCCCAAATATCCATTGTTTAACCTTAAGACAGAGTGAGGTCTAGTGACGAGACTAATAAAATAAAACTGAATGCAGGGCTGGCACTACGGCAAAAGACTGATTTATTATGGTCCAATATTTCAGCTAACAAAATAAGCCTTCCTCAAGGCCATAGTTCTGGCCCTGAGGATGGTTAATTTTGGCTTATAATAAATCAGCCCTTGGCCGTAGCGCCAGCCCTGCATTCAGTTTTGTTTTAGTTCACACTTAAGTGACGTCTGGCTACAGCATCTCTTTGATTAGAGGTTCGGCAAGCGGAACCAGTCAGTTATATTTACGCGTTGCGTGGACCTCTGCATTCAAAGAGTTTTTCCGACGAGACTAATGTTTCCCCGGCTTTCGCTTTTATTGCAGTTCCAATTATTACTTTTAGTTAAAATTACTATACACCAATGTAAAATGTACCAAATACAAAAAAAGTGCAAACTACCACAAATTTACACCACAGTTTATGGCTCACCCCGTTTTTATCGCTAGGAACAAGGGACAAGTCTGAAAATGTATAGTCACCTTACTGCAAACTACAAGAATCTCACAATACAATGACAATACACTACTCGTCCACTGCCGCCAAAATCTTTCCAGCCTCTCTGACACATGTTATAGCGATGGAAACCTGTTCTTTGACCTGCTTCCAATTGTTGGTCTTCTCGATTTCAAAAAGCGAGTCCGTGATTCCTGGAAAGCTTGAGCTTCCGTAGACGTTGTGCATTTCAGGTGCGAAGAGAACGTGACGAGCTAAGCGCCTTCCTGGTAGTCCAAACGGCCAGATAAACGCTCGTTCCATGTTCATCATCTGATCATTGAGTCTGCGTAGTTTGGCAAAGTCTTGCATGTCACTAGCCTGGGCTTTTTTCTTCTCGAAAGCATCTGCGTTTTTTGAAAAGGTTTCCACTTCTCGCTTCAAATATTCCAGAGTGATATTATCCTTTTCGAGTAGCTTCAAATAATTATTTTCCAGTGTGTCAAGGCTGCCTTTCAGAGCTACTTTATAGTCTTTCAGATTGAAAGGAAGCATTGGGGTGTCTGCAGCCCTTAAAACAATCCTGGCTCCAATTTGAGACATCAACAGGTGGGTCTTGAAATTCGGGTCGGTGAAGGTTTTTTGCCAGTAAAACGTATCATGAACGGTATGATAAACAGGATATAGCGACCTATTCATGCTGCCAAATTCGTACTTCATGTCAATGCTAGGCACCCCAATAAAATGACTGAATGGCGCGTAGTCGGATCCTGAACCGAGACCACCAAACTTAGGCTCACCGGGTGCCGTGGGGGATGGGTATTTCCTTGCCCAGCTTTCATAGAGATTCGCACCTTTTTCATTACCATTGGGATCTGTCAAATACTTAGATTCTTGGAATACCAAAGACTTCAAGCCAGGATTGCCATTGGCCTTAAAGCTGTAATTCCCACTCACAGCAGAATCGGTATTCAGGTACATAACTGCACGGTCCCTCAACATGTTTCTGTTTTCTTCCACCCACTCATATGAACCAATGAGACCGTACTCCTCCGCGCCCCAACTGCAGAAGACCATTGTGCGTCTAGGTCGCCAATCCGTATTGGTCAGCAGCTCTCCTATGCCACGTGTCACCTCCATCATAACCGCTGTGCCACTCGATGGATCCACTCCACCAAAAACCCAAGCGTCTCGATGATTACCCATGAGTACCATCCGGTCGGGTTCTTCTTTGCCGATGATTGTGCCAATCACATTTATTGCTGGTTTTGTCACGAACTGATTGTTGACCACAAGCTTTACTTTTACATTTGGATCTGTAAATCCAGGTCCGAATCTGTACTTGATGGGCAATCCTCCTGTCCATTCCAAAGGAACTTCATCACCTGAAAGAAAGTAACACACCTTTCTTATTATGATTTTCTGAAATGCTTGCAGTGTAGATCGCGTCACCGTTGCCAATGACAAAGCTTTGACATCTTTTGGACATGTTTTCTCCACTTCAAAACGAAACATTCTTCTGCATAATACAGAGCCCATTTAGTTTGCCAAAGAATGTTTGCAAACTAGTCAAAAACTTTGTCGAGTGCCAAAAGTAAGGCAATCCACCCGATAAAACGGGTAGGCCTTAGCCGCTCTTAGTTTTAATAACAAAGACTCATTTAAATGGAGAACTGAACATTACAATTATGCACGCAATTCTTTCTTAACTGTTACCCATCTCACGTCCGATCACGTGATTTAGTACCTGCAAGGCGCTTTAAGAAGTGTACAGCGTTATCGTAAGTTATGACTTGGGCGGGGATTTTTGGCAATACATCACTTTCATTTTTGCTTAGTCTGTAGATTCCATCAATGGACGGCAGGAGTGGAGTCAAGGGATCGCCATCGGCCATGCCTATTGTTCCTCTCTGGGTGCCAGTCCCTGGCATCCACCAAGTCTTTGGAAAAGTATTGTTCATTCCTTCAGGAGAGTAGTCCGCTGGATCAGAGTACAGTATTACACCAGCCGCTCCGCACTTTTGAGCATTTTGAACCTGCAGAACAATCGATCATACATGTTCTTTAGTTTGAAAGAGCAAAGCTTCCTTCCGCAGGAAAAAGTCTTTTTTAAATGATACTAAAAATGAGGAATAAACATCTGTCTATAGCTGCAACTGCCCGAGTGATTTGGCTTCGCGAATGAGTTAAGTACTTGCCAGGCCGTGAGTTTGCCGTGGGTTTGTGCCCGACTGCGTCACCTAAAAATAAACTAGTCTGTGAAAATGCGTTACAAAGGCTTTGTGCAGGAGTTGCTTGCTCCATCTTATGGGCCTCTGTCCTATTCCACCGTCCGGTTAGCTCAGTTGGGGAGCACCGGTCTGCCGAGCGGAAGGTCGTGGATTGGAACACTGGCCAGACCAATAACCAGGGTCTTTAAAAAACTGGTGTAATAATAATAATAATAATAACTGTTTATTCACAAATCCAAATCGGAAAGTGAAAAGGAGATAAAAGAGGTTATCCCTTTCTAGTTTATCTCCTGATAATAAAATACATTAAGAAATAAATTATTTACAACTGTTTAAAATAGTAACTATATATGTATATAAAACATCACACAGTAAAAGAACTTAGTGTTCATTAGGAAAATCTGTAAGATAACGTCTCAGTCTGTTCTTGAAAATATTCAAATTCTCCGCCTCAGCAACTTCCTTTGGGAGATTGTTCCACTTATCTATTATGCGTATAAAAAAAGAATGTTTAAAACTATTTAAAGTTGCTGATGTAAGCTTAAGTTTAAAACGATGGTTGGCTCTTAAGGGCCGAAAATCATGTGCAAATGTGAAAAATGCCGAGGGATCAAGTCCATTAAGTCTATTTATTGTCTTATAACACTCGATAAGCGACGAAAATAATCTTCTTTGTTCAAGTGATGGCCATTTAAGGAGCTTTAGGCGTTCTTCGTAAGGCATGTCTTGCCCAATATTTCCAAGGGCGCATTTAGATGCTCTACGTTGTACTTTCTCCAAGGTGTTTAAGTCTTTTTTAAGGTGCGGACACCAAACTGGAGAGCAGTACTCGAGTATCGGACGTACTAGACTCTTATAAAGTTTTGAAAACAACTGAGGATTTTTAGGACCCACCGTTCGCCTAATGAATATTTGCGCATTTGTTAGCTTGCATACTCCATGACAGGTTCGAAGTAATATAGATTCCGAGATCCTTAACTTCAGATACAGCTTTTAATTGGTTACCACATAGATGGTATTGAGGACTTGAGTAATCATTTTTTTTAGAAATGCGCATCGCTTCGCATTTATCCGTGTTAAATTTCAGCTGCCAGACATGGCTCCAAGATTCCAGGCGAATAAGATCTTTCTGTAGCTCTTCAAGATCTTCCTTAGTATCCCTGAGTAACCTATACAATTTCATATCATCTGCAAAAAGTTTTGTGCTTGACATAATGTTTCTTGAAATATTATTAATATAAATTAAAAATAGAATGGGTCCCAGCACAGTTCCTTGGGGTACACCAGACAAAACGGAAGTCCAAGATGAGTAATGTCCCCGCAGAACAACGCGCTGGTATCGATTGGTGAGAAAACTTCTAAGCCAAGACAGGAGTGGACCTTGGATACCATATGCGTGTATCTTTGTCAAAAGGCGTTCATGTGGCACCGAGTCAAAAGCTTTTGAAAGGTCTAAAAATATAACATCAGTTGTCAAGCCTTTGTTTCTCCCGCTGGCCCAATCGTGAAAAGATGATAATAATTGAGAAAGACAAGATTTCCCTTTCAGGAAGCCAAATTGCTCCGGAATAAAGACCTCGTTTGTAATCCAAAACTGAACAAGCTGCTGTCTTACTATCATTTCACACACTTTACACACCACCGATGTTAGCGAGACAGGGCGATAGCTCTTTCGATCGCTTTTAGCACCTTTCTTATGCAAAGGAGTAATGTCAGCCAATTTCCAGTTGTGTGGTAAAATGCCTGATGCAAGAGACGCATTAAAAACGTCACTAAGTGATGGAGCCAAGGTTCCAGCACATTTCTTTAAAATCATGGGATGTATACTGTCCGGGCCAGGAGATTTACGAGGTTTCAACTCGCTTAGAATCTTGCTAACAACCTTAGGTGAACAGTGTAGAAGACTAAGATCCTGGTCTTTAATAACTTGATCAAATGATGGAAAATTAGCAAAGTGCCATGGTGGCTTTGATTTGAGACTTTGACTCAGATGGTCGAGTCAGTGGGCGGTAATGTTAAACCGCTGGCTTCAGTACCGGATCCAGACCTTGAGATAAGAGGGGGGCGCTCATCCAGACTGTCGTGTCTTTTTCCCGCGAATTTTAATTGTGTTAATGTATTTTCTTTGTTTTTCGAGCACGTGACATAGTTGTGATGCGGTCGGTCACAAAATTTAGAGCCTAAGCGTCGATGTTTTCGCGTGGATTCTATTTTCTTCTTTAGTTTGATAGTTCAGTTTGATGCGGTTGCATGAACCAGTTTTTTTAAGTATCGAGTATTGTCGATGAACTTGTATTTTGCTCGTGAAGGAGCGGTGAAAGAAGACGGTGGATTAAACAGAATTTACTAACGACGCGTGGACTAGTAATTTGTGCCGAGTGTGATCTTCTCGTCGAAGTATCCCACACAGACCCTTAGTAAGTGGGGGGGGGTGGTCTCCAAAACAAATTTTTCGCCCCTCCAGCCCTCAGTTTGGTATAAAAATGAGGGGGGCCGGGGCCCCCGGGGCCCCTCCTCTGCATCCACTACTGGGCTTTGAGTCTCCTTCCTTTTTTCATTAGTCAAAATCGAAGGGGACGTAAAAGAACCCACAACATACTACTGTTCGAAAAGAGTAGGGGATCTTAGCCGGTGGTGTGGTTTAATACCTTTCACATATCGCAAATCATTCATATCATGGGCTGTGGGTGGTTTACAGTAAGCTCATAAATGGACTGATAGTGGCGCCAGTGGCGCCTTGTATGTTGAAGTCCGAGCTTACTGTTAAAGAGGGCGCGTCTTGTTGTCCTCTATTACATTACATTACATTACATTACATTACATTACATTACATTACATTACATTACATTACATTACATTACATTAAGCGGCACGACCTTCAGGGCAAATACGTAGGTGGTCAAGATAGGCATGGCAACAGCGACAGACAAAGAGAGATAACATGAAACAGATGAAGGGCAGTATCTCTTACAAGGTGCGTGTAGTATTTTGTACCTTATTTCCTCTAAATATTTTTCCATAACGCATGATAATTATCTTCCCAGTACAGCTTAAATTTCTCTGTTCCAGTTTCTGAAAATCCTTAACGGTACCATAGTTTGCATACATCAAGTCAGCGTCCTCCACGATTCCAGGTGGAGAGTATCCCAGAAATGGTGGCAACACAAGAGAATCATTTTCACTTGGCTCTGCAATCTGAACAAAAACAATTCAAGCAGAACAATTTTCTCCTGTTTTTTATTGATTGACTGACTGAGAGACTGAGTGACCTACCGACAAAAATGATTGGCTGATGGACTGATATAAATCTGTTAAGCTACATTAAACATGTTTCAACAAGACTGAATGGATCATTTCCAACAAAGACGTTCAGTGCCCAAAATGACGGCAAATTGGTAATTGATCAACCACTTGTTTCCCCTCGTGTTAGGAACGAGCGCAGAAATCTCATACTGTATCACAAGTGACAACCCAGATCTGGGTAGTGCTTCTGATTGGTCGTGCCGCGAGGGAAATTTGCTTCATCTTATTAGAAGCACTACCCAGATCTGGGTAGTGACACGTCATCAGTATGGGATTTCTGCAATCGTTCCTGAGACGTCATTTCGTGGAAAAGTCAGTGATTGGGTTACAAAATGTCGGCTGTTTTCTCAGGCTATTTCAAACGCTGATTCTGCACATTCCCAATTTCAAACCAAGGAGGGTCAAAAACCATTTGGAGCTGCACACACCTATATAACTCTTACAAAGCAGTACCTACCACCCTCTCTTCTTCCGCCGGGGTTTCAACTCCGGAAATGTACCCAACAAAGTTTTATACGAGGAGGCTCGGCCCCGCGGTCCAACCCCTTACCCTTTTATATAGAAAAGGTAACCTTTCGTATACCTTCTGTGGACACATTGTACCACTTTGCATCCCTTTTAAATGCTGTAAATGCACCCACCCAAAATCACAAATAAACCAGACCCTTTTGTCAACTTTTTCACAGACATAAAAGGCAACTGTAAGCCCTTTTGGGCCTTTTTACAGACCGAAAGACAGATTTCGCTTCCCTTTCATATACTTCAACAAGTGAAATCCCTACTCTTTCATATTACAGAAACCTGAAAAAGGAACCCCTTTCGGGCGGAGCCTCCCCGTATAGACATTTATAGGGAGTAGTCTCCCGGGGATTCAACCTGCACAAAATTGAGCAGAGAAATTAAAATCAAAGCGAGCTGTAGGTATTACTTTTTCGGGTCCCTCTACGTTCCACAAAACCGTTCCTGCAGTTGTGTTGATGATCTTGACAGCGTTTGGTTTATCTCTCGGTGGCATGGACAGAAGAACATCGTACTGTACCATCTCTACATGATCAAATTTATATTTTTTCCATTCATCACGGATATATACTCCTAGCTTCCTGTTTTGTTCACCGCCTCCAACGTGGGGACGCTCAGTGAATTTGCTGCAAATATAGATCAGCTTCATTATGAGGTACGTTTGAGAAACTAATTTTTACATTAGCGAGGGTAACTTAGTACAGATTACTGTTGATTGGACAAGAACAGTTAATTCGTTGTCTCAAGAGCCATTATGGCTCTTGGTTGTCTACATTAAAGGGTATCCGTATTAAACGAGTTGAATTTAGAGACAATATAAGAGCTTTCCCTAGGGTCAAAGAAAACCCTCTTTTATATCATCTAATAACAAATTAATCTGGTGTCTCTAAAGCGGGATTCGAATGTGTAATTGTACGAGCCATCTTTTTCATTTCATAGCATCAATTTTTCTTGTATGAGGCAAGCGAGAAAATGTGCATTTCTTTTCTCACTATTAAACAAGGGTTGCATTCTGTAGAGCAAGTCACCGATGGTTAACGTATGGTAAAACTAATTCGAAGCCACACGGATAGCAGAGAGACTGAAATGCCCTAGATTTAAATCAACACAAGGAGGTCAAATGATTTACCTATTGAATGTGGCCTTTTAGTTCACTTTATACTAAGTTAACTTAATTTCCAGCGGGGTTTTACGCGTGCAGATGATTGCCATAAATAGACTTTTTTGACCAACATATCTGAAATCCTAGAGAACTTAAGAGACAATTCTAGATCAAAGTATAGTTCTCACAAACAAGGTTAGTGCATTTTGAGGCATTGGGAGAAATCGTTTCATTCTTACAGCTTCAAACAAAAATTACTCGAAAACCCTCTCACATAACTTGTTCAGAATAAGAACAACTCAAGGTAAGTATATGTACGTCAAGAACATAAACAACTTGCAAAACGAATGACCAGACTTCAGAACAAAAGTACAAAATGTAAAAACAGCAATGATGTTACCCTGTTGCTATACAAAGATAGATCTCGCAAAAACTCACAAATTGAATCTTAGATCTATACCAAATATAAGTTTGTGACTTGGTTTTCTGATTTGTTTGATGCATCTTTGAACTGCGTGTTCAAGGTGGGGAGGTAAGGTCACTGAAAAACAGTGGCGAGCTACCTTTTTAAAACAGGTGTAAAGTTTTAACAACGCATGTCAATTTGGCTATTGCGGCGAAGGTTTACCAAATTACCAGAAATTACCCTAAGTACGTTACCACGATGTTCCTGAAGAAAAAAAACTTTTTTCATTTGAAAAAGTAGTGAGTCATCTATGGCAAAGGAGTAGTGTGTTGACACCCCAATGCTATGCACAAATAACTGCCGGTTGTATTTGTTAATTTATCCTAATTTCAAACCAATGATGCATGACACGGGAATAAGTGGATAACAACAACAACTTAGGCTAAACCATCTAGAGGGGACATTGACAGAATGCACACTGCATGAAAATTCGTAGGAATGAGTGAATTTTTAAGCACAAGGCACTTTCCGTCGACAGCTGGTATTATGTTCCGACGGTAAATCAGTCTAGAGCTAGAGTCAATTAACCGACAACGCCCGGCGTTACAATACAAAGGCCTGTTATCCACTGTATCCGATATGATATGTGGTGTGCGACAAACGCAGACTGTAGTCTTGCAGACTGGCAGGTTAGCGAGATAAACATTGTTGTGAAATGCTCTAACAGATTCTCTATCCCTAAACTTTAAGTCTCCTAAAAGTCTAGTTTAGGGATGGGGAATCTGTTAGAGCATTTCACAACAATGTTTATCTCGTTTACTTGCTAGTCTTCAAGTCTGCAGTCTGCGTTTGTCGCACACTGTCCAAAATGCAAACAATTTATAACTCACCGAGAAAATTTCTCCACACTCTCCGCGTTAAGTGCATTTACTGCCTGCTCGTGATATCGCTTGTAGTCGGTTTTCCGCTCTTTATGACCGTGTTTCTTACCGCCCGAATCATTTGAAGACGTCTTGGACGATCCTGCTTTCATAGCAAAATAACCGATGATGAAGCCAATGAAGAATATGGCGATGGCAGCAATGACTGCCGCCGCAACGACGCAATAAAAGCGTTTGGTTCGCGTTGTTCTTTTAACTGGTTGTTCGGTAGTTAAATCAAATGTATCACCGCTAGCCATGTTTACTTACGGACGTTAAGATCGTGCAAACAGCAACCTCTCTTTCATAAAGCCGTTTTTACTATGCTTGGTTGGCGTGAGTTATCTATATGCTCGAAGAAGCAAACCAATCAAATCCTCTACGTGCTAAAAGTAAGCGCTTTTATACCAGACGCTTCTTAGTGACTAACCACTCATAAAGACCTAATTATTCTGAATAATTATTGGCCAAACATCAGAGATTCATAAGGTTAGCTCCTTCTAAACACAATCATTTATTCCCTAACAGCAGGCATAAAACTGAAAATTTATTTGCTTAGTTCATCAGGTAGCCCTCTCTCTATCGTTTCGTCTTAAACTTGTCAAATGTGCGAAAAGCAACGGAGAGTCACGGTAACGCGATACCCAATCTAACACTGCGAGCCAGCGAGCCATGCGAGGCATGCGAGCCATCGGAAAATATAAATTTTTAATAATATTCTAATTGGAAATAGTTCGTTTTGTAATTGGTTTTGCTCCTGGAAATGTGCTTTCAATCGGGAATATTAAACCGCGATGGCTCACGCGGTGGCCATGTTATTTTGGACGCGACCAGTCTGGGTCGAGGGAGAGCGACAAATTTTGACTTTCCCTCCCCTCTCTGATAGTCTTTCTCTCCTGTTTCGTTCTTGCGAACCGTTCAGCGTGCTCGTGGCCGGATCTTCAAAAAATCTTCGATCCTTTTGGACAATACAGTTCAGTCGAATCAAGGATCAAGGAATCAAGGGTCTCCCACCTTAAGCAAGTAGAAATATAATATTATGTTCTTGTTGTCATTGTTTCTGTACGAACAAAAATATATTTAATGCTTTAAATTCTGGTGTTAAAACCTTAACTGTCTTTTCTTGAAGTTTTTTAAAAGTGGCATACCACGTAATCAAGAGAAAGGATTTAGAAACGTGTTAGAAACGCTTTGCGCGTTTTGAAAACGATATGGTTTCATCGTTCGTGTAGATAGGTTTTCAGATGGCTCGCATGGCTCGCTGCCATGGCTCGCATGGCTCGCTGGCTCGCACTCTATCCAAACTCATCTAACAGTACATACAACGGTTTCAAATTGAAAAATCATCGTCGCTGAGGCTTAAAATGAAGTCAATGAATGCATGAATTAGCAAAAAATCATCGCAGTTTTCCAGGAACTACGGAATAGTGGATTTTTGTTGGATACAGATTTACGATTAACAGAATTTAAAGCAGAGCTTGACTCCAAGAGCCTGTGTAAAAATAGCCTGCGTAGCAGGCGCTTGGAAGTAGTGGGCACAAGAAAAAACGCGCGCGAGAGAACGATCACCCCTTGCGTGTCTCCCTCGGGCGCGTCCGTTCTCTCTTTCGCCCACTACTTCCAAGCGCCTGCTACGCAGGCTAGTGTAAAAACTTTTTTAAATACAGTTTTTCAAGTTTTGTTTTTTTTGGTTAAGGTTGTTATGCAGAAATGAGGCCCGTTTCAAACGTCGTGCTGCTGCCGTGCTGAACTCAATTGATCGAATTAAATTCGACTTTAGCACGGCAGTAGCACGACGTTTAAAACCAAGTCGTGCTACTCAAACCTTGGTTTCGGTTGGTAGCTGGACTTGGCTTCAAATGTCGTGCTACCGCCGTGCCGAACTCAATTCATAAATTATAAATACATTAGAATATAATAGTTTGCTAAACCTTTTCTACATTTTTGTGTTTTGTTTTCCGCAACAGCCATTCTATTCGACTGAATTAAATTCGACGTCTGAAACCAAGTCGTGCTAGCGTCGAGCTGTGTATATTTGCAAATGGGTGGTAATACGTGAATCATTATTGGGGAGGACGTATCAACGTAACAACTGTTTCAACAAATGTGACGAGAATTGTAGAAAACAATAGGCTCTTTGCATGACTTGATCACCTGACCAACTTTCGGTACCCACGTAAACAGTTCACTTTTGAACAATTTTGTTAGTACAAGCTGAAAGAGCATATTAAAATTAGGTAACCTGAGAATTTTCAGCCGTATATTTCAGAAGTAGCGATTGCAACGGCCGCCGAAAGTTAGAAGTATTTGTATGAGAAAACAACTTTTGTCATCCAGTCTCGCTTGCATGGTCTTCCATACAAATCCTTGTAAATTCTAAAATTTTTAGACTGTCGTTAAATCCTTCCCTTACGCATTTAACGGTTCAAATTGCTTGTTATGAGTTAAAAGGAGATTTGAGCCCTGTAATGCTTAAGAAAGTACTTTATGACAGTTTTGAAAATCTCGAAATTAAAAGGATCTCCCTGGAAAACCCTGCAAGCGTGGATGGCAAATTTTTTTTTCTCACATGAATCTTCTACCTTTCGGCGGCCGTTGCAATCGCTACCTTTGAAATATACGGCTGAAAATTCTCTGGTCACCTAATTTTAATTCCGAGCGTAGCGACTTTAGTAAATATAACAGTGCAGTTCGCTGATGAAAATTAGTATACTTCGGGCCGTGGTACAGAGCTGAAACTTCGCAGACTTTCAGTTGATCTATATATAGGCAATTTGGGTTTTCCACAGTGTAAAACGATCATAATGCCTCTCATATTCCAATCTCCTCTTCCTCTGTTCCTCTGTCTCTTGTTGTCGGTGTTGCCTTTGCTGTGCTATATAGCGCTCGCTAAGTTAAGCGATGTTCTCTCTGCGACCTCGTTCAGGTGGGAGAGAGAATCTGGGAACGAGGTTGGTTCTCTAGGCTCCTCGATTTCTTGTTCACGGCTTCTCCTTCGTTGTTTTTGAAGTCGGCGTTCTCGCTCCGAGGAGTTTCGGTGGAAATCTTCCTGGGCGAGGATTTGGAGCCACTCGTTGTGCTTGTGTGTCATTTGCAAAAATTGTTCGTGATTCACCGATCTTAAACATTGTTTCACAGACGATGAATACTCACAACAGCCTTTCATCAGGGGCACCCAACGGCAATTTTCGGGAAAATATCTGTTCGGAAGACGATTTGAGAACTAGAATTTTCGGAACATTTGTTGTAAAATTTCTTGCTTGCCTGCCTCTCCTAGGATTTTCGAACATCTACAAAATGGTATAATTACCCATTTTAAACGGATATTTACCCTAAAAAAGGCCACCTAGAATTTTCGGGAGCCTTTTCCTGGCTGAAATTTTCGAAAGGGTAAGTTTTGATCCCTATAATTTTCGGGTCACTAGACTTTCAGCTAGGAAATCCGAACAGATGAAAAGTTTTTAGGGGATAAAAATATGCTTATATCTACCGTTTAAATACTAAAATACGTTCAACAATGCTATGTTAAGTGGTTTTGAACTATATCCTCGTTGGGTGCCCCTTTTTCATGAATGATACATGAAAATTCGCCCTGGTCATCGGCGGCAAGGTCTATGTTGCCTGGAAACGCAAAATGCTCCATGACGAAACGCTACATGACGTCACTGACGGACACCAAGTATATATTCATAGATTTATGGGACATCTAATTTTGCAGCTGCTAAGACCACGCGCGGTTAGCAGACTGTTCGACGAGATTATAAAGTCGCTACGCTCCTAACAAATAACCGTTTTACATCTGCAAAGAGCACAGCCTGAGGTTGGAGAAGATCCATCTCTTGAAACTTTCAGTAAGTCTTCGTCAGGCGAGTGTGAAAGTATTGACACCCAGCGATGCTCAAATTAAAAAGTCTGAAATCTGAAATCTAAAATTTGTAGTCTCCCTTGGTTTTCGTACCACATGAAACGTTGAACACTAACTTGACTGTGAATCGTGCGGAATTGAAGTTGACTTTCTCTTCTATTGTACTTGCTAATCATTATCTTTCACGTTCCCCTCCTGTGAAAAGCGATCATTTTGTTCATCAGTTCGTGTATAAATTTGCAATATTTAAAATGCTGCGCACACAGGTTTTTTTTCACTCATTTCCCAGACGCTGCAAAGTGTACCAGCCAAGTAATCTACGCGAATCAAAATTCCGCCGTGTAAGAGCAGGGTTATGGGCTCCTGGTAAGAGTAACGAACCAACGCCTGACGATTCTGACCCGTGGGAGGCACACCCTATAGAAAAATATGAAACGGCGAACTGATCCTTACGGCGAGGCGATGAGGAAGTGAAAATATATATCAGGAGCCGGCTCCTGTATATATATATATATATATATAGGAAGTCTGTGTTTCGATTTATATATATATATATATATATATATATATATATTTATAACATAGCGGGCGTGCTTGCCCTATATAAGTCCTATTGAGCCGCTATGAACAAAATCTTTATTTACGCACGCCCGTGCGTAAATAAGATGACGTGAGCATTTTTTTTTTTATCTGGCTGCAAAGTACAGTTGTCGTCTTTTAAGCTACAGTGCAGTTTTCCTTCCCTTTAAAACATGGAAGAAACCAGCGAAGAACTGCCCAATTTTTGTATCGGCATTGACCTTTTAGGTCCTGATCCAACAAGCAGCAAAAATAAAGCCGAATTAAAAAAACTCGCAAGTTGCACGTTTCGCAAATTTGTCGGAAGACCAGCTGCAGCAAATTTTGGCCGAAAGACATTCACTGGGAACAGAACAGACACCAACTGGTCATCAACAACATTTAAGGGTAAAATTTCCGTTTTTATTGTTGTTTTTAAATTTGTTACTTACTTTTGTTATCTCCGGACAATCCGACTGAAGCAGGAAAATTTCTCTCGCAATAACAACACAAATTACACAAGAAGACATAAATTTATTTATTATATAAACTGCAGTGTTTTACAAGGATTTCTACCACCGAGAAATGTGGTATCTGAACACACGTAAAAATACGATATTTTTACATGTGAAGATATCGATAATTTCACTGACATCAGGTTTGTCTCTTAAATTGTACTTAAATTCGTTGGTGTATCATCGAAACATCTTCGGGTCTTCCTGGAAAGTGCTCAGCAATCTTCGGAAATCTTCGCACATCTTCGGAAATTTTCGGAAATTTTCGGAAATTCTCGGAAAATGTTCGGGAACGTTCGTCTGGTCTTCGGGACAATTTGAAAAATCTTCGGAAATCTTCGGAAGGTGGTCGGAAATCTTCGGAAAATCATCAAAAACGCCGTCATCAGTATGTTTTTATAATAAAAAGAATATTACACGTTAGCTCGAAGATATGAATTTTATGTTCTCGTGGCAAGAGCAATATCTCACTCGTTCGCTGCACTCACTCGTCAG